TTTAAAGCGAAGCTAGCTAGCATGCAATTAGAGCACTAAACTCTTCTTAGGCTCCGTTGGGTATGCACTAAGCAGCAAATCTACATTTGTTTAGTCCATAGGGTCCCAAAATCAGTGTCATTCCACCAAAAGCTCTCTATTTTTCCTTCAAATAGCTGATAGCCCTAGGATCCAGAGCTAAAAATTTGATAATTTATGTTTGATAAGTCATGAAAAATCGTCTTAATCATGCATAAATCTTGATGTTTATTTAGATTGAGATTTTCCATAATTAAATTCTTGATCATTTAAATTCTGATTTCAACAAAATTATAGTCAAATTGAACATCTTTATCAGACAAACTCATCCATGTACATCAAAAGGGATGTGATCCGAGTTCAAATAAGTCTAGATCATGCACTTAAAGCTTCTTGGCATTAATTGGATGATCAAGTGATCTTCCAATTTCCCATGCTTATATTAGATAAATTAAATTAGCTCAATATCACTTAATTATGATATCATTGAGGCACTTAAATGTTAAATGAATACTTAAGACCTAAGGAAAAAATATGAGTTGTTCAATGGAGTTTCCTAAATATTCTTCATATTTACAAGAAATTTCACTCTAAAAATTTTATAAATAGAGACTCTTATTCTCGTATAAAGGAGGTAGAATTAATATTGGCTTTATATTCAAGTGAGCTCAAAGGCTCTAAGAGCACCACCGCTCCATATCTCTGTGTGTGTGTGTGTCAGGGAAGGGATCAAGATTATACAGAGTGAGGCTGATCGAAAATCTAAAGTTTCTTTAGTAAATAGCTTTGTGAGGTAGATTGACATTATAAGTAATCTTCTAGCTACTATAAATTATATTTTGATAAATGAATGAGTTAAAGGTTTTGATGTGTATAAATTACTTGTACTATATTTTATTTTATTTTAAATAGAAATTAGAGGCTCTAGTAAGTTAACTAAAATAGAAAAGATGTAATTCTTCCAATTTAGGTCTTGAGGCATTACATGTACACAACCTTCTACTATCCTTGTCCGACCATGATCCTCTTATTTGTATCGCACGATCATGGTCCTTCTAACAACCATCACCTAACCATCATATTCTACTCTTTGTCATTGCTCAATTGTGATCCTCTAATCACTATTGCTCAACTATATAGTCCCCCAACCATTATTGCATATTTTTTATCTTTCCTCCTCAATCACCCGATTATGATCCTTTCGTCCACTACCGCATGGCTACGATCCTCTTATCTCTGTCCCTTGACTACAATATTTTGACCTTCATCTCCTAACCACGGTTTCAGAACACCATCACCCTACTACGTTCCTCTGACTATTATCGTCCTACTATGATTCTTCGATCGATGTCTTCTAATCATGGCCCTCATACATCCATCAAGTGACTACAATCATTCTGATCAACTACTATCACACGGCTATGATCCTTCAACCTTCATTCACCTACTACAGTCTTTTGACCTTCGTCACCCCAATACAATACTCTAACCCTACCTGACGGTGCTCTTATAACCACTATCACCTAAATACAGTCCCTTGACCCTCATTATCGACTACAATCCTCTAACTATCATCGCTCGATCACAATCCTTTTAACAACTATCATCTAACTGTGATTCTACAACAATGAAGTATGGCTATAATTCTTCAACTATCATCACCCGACTATAGTCCTCAAATCACTTTCGTCTGATTATGATCTTTCGACCACGATTTCCCAACAATGGACCTCCAACAAACATCGCCCAACTATGATCATCCAACCACTATTGCCCTACTATGGCCCTCCAACCATTAACACCCAACTATGATCGCTCAACTAACTTCCCCCAACTACTAGCCTTTGAACACTAACGTACACCCGGCTTCGGCCTTTTGACTATCATCACTCAACTAGAGCCTTTTGACTAATATCATCTGACTACAAAACAGGATGATTGGCCTAATAAGGTAGCCTTGGTACGTCAACTATCCTTGGCTCACATGAATTTATCCTTGAAGCTATTTAATTCAGTGATTTAAACAACTAATGTCTTGAGAAGAAATATTACATTTGATAGAATTTTTACATCTTAAAAATTATGATCAACTTCACCTTCCAATTGCTTCGAGATCCATAATATCACTCATCACAAATTGTGGCATCTCAATTTGAAAATCTTACAATCCCAACACACACGACAGTACTATTACTCGATCTGTGCTCTCCTTAATAAATGTACAATTATGAGCCATATGTTAGCAAAATACTTTATTGATCAAATAAACACTAAGGTTAAAATAGCAACTTAGCTACCAATAATTGGAAGCAAAAGTGCCATTGATATGATAACAAATTAAGGAACCAGCCCAGATGATCCTATTCCTTTGCCACAATGCATAAACTAACATCAAAGATATCAACTTTTAATTTGAGGATCAGTCTATGTTAATTTGAAAAAGTAAAAAAATAAAATAAAAATCAGTATTAAAAGTGTGAAGAAGAGCATTGTGGATTGAAAAGGTGTAGTCCCCCACATTGTTCAGCAGCATCCAGCAATTTGTTTAAGAAGAAAGCAATATACTTTCACTTCAATCACTCATAGAGCAATCCGTGGTCCTCTTAAGATTAGAAGAGGCTCTCATTATTTAATACTGATCACATCTCATATATGTTTCCACTTGTTAGTTAACCTTACAAGGAATTAATAAAAGTTAACTATTTCATCATTACATTATTGTGAGTCTCTACCAACTTTATATTTATTATTTTATTTTATTTTTTAAACTAATGGCTAACATAGATTCCCCGCTCTCTATGGAGAAATTATTCTGTGCAGTCGTTGGTCGATCCAGAGACAAATTAGGATGCATCATGTCGTCCAATACATGCACAACATCGGTACACAGCAAAAAAATGACATGTCACTTCCTGATTCGCCTCTGGAGGCCGTCTGGTGACCACACAACATAATTTCTCCTATCTATGCATCTTCGCTTGCATAGTTACATATTATTGAGAGGAGGGGAGAACGGCTGATTGGAAAAATGAGAGCTGAATGACAATGATTGAGGGGTCTCAAAAGACGGAAACGATTGGCATCAATGTTGGTTAATGACTAGCCCTGGGAAATGGTGATAAATGGCAACAAGGTCGATTGAGGACGAGTGCTAGGATTTGGGATTATTTTTAATTATAGTATTCCTTAATTTATTTCATTATTTTCTAATATTTTATGAAATTAAGGCATTAAATGATGCTTATAATGCTTTATGTTTTGTGAGTTTGATGGGGTTGTGAGAGAAGGGTATAGGGGCTATGAAGGGATGAATAGGTTCTAAGTATTGGATATGATGATGTGGAATTTGATTATTTTTTAGTTTTCAGTGATTTAAAATAATTTATGACAAGTATAATATTCAAAATTAGAATGCCACTTATGACTTTATTTGGGACGGTTTCTTTATTATTTTTTAAAATAACTTTTTAATACAAAATTTTCTTTAAAAATGTCTAAAATAAATTAAATAATTACACATAATATTGACAAAGTAAGAAACCGGCTAAATAATGACTATAATTTCATTATTCATTTACAAACAAGGGCCGACATTAATGACGATGATGAATGATTGCAGTCATTAATACAAAATGACGAAGAACATTAATATCAGTCGACAGTCAGTATCAATCAATAATAAGAAGAACTCTAAAATTCTATATAAATCATAAATCTCTCTCTATTAAAAATATTTTACATATTTACATTTAAAAAATGATATATTTATTAAATTTTAGAGGGATGAAACTAAAGTCCCCTTAGAGTGGGAGCACTTGAGCATCATGGGTTTCTTTTGGCCCATTGTGGAAGACAGTTTCAGTCTTTGAGTTGGCACTTTCATTGAGGCAAATAATGCGTGCAAACCTTCAATTATATGTGAGAATGTGGAGTCAACAGAGAATAAATTTAATTTTTTTCTCACCCTCTTTCATTTTTTCATATCAGATGGTCCCAACTAAATCAGTCTTCTATAGTTTTTAATTTTTGTACTAAAAGTCTTTTTCTGAAGCAGTAAAAAACCATCCTGAGCAAAATCTTATATATATGAGGAGTTTCCAAATCGTATATATTTATTACCCAATATAGAAGTAGATGAGTCAAGCTAAGCTCTAACAACTCCTAACTTGGGGTGGGCAAATCAATAGAGTTTGAGTTCAAATTTAAGGTCAATTCTACAAATCTGTGTTGGATCACCAATAATGTGGTGTTTATTATAAAAAAGTGAATATGATTATAACTTTAATAAAAAATGATAAATTTGAAAAGAAATAATAAAAAATAATTAAAATAAGAAATATAAATAAAAACTTTTTAGATATTTTTAATAATATTATACTTAAGCTTATACTTTTGATATCAATATCTTTTGAATGAATTAATACTTATTATAGCTTATCTAAATTTAACTCGTTAGCTCACTAAATGAGACTCGCCAGCCTTTTATTAAGCTAAGCTTGAGCTGTTTTTTTTTTTTTTTAATTGACTGAGGTTTTGTTTGGGACGATTTTTTTATTGCTTTTTAAAATGGAGTTTAAGTACAACATTTTTTATTTTTATATTAAAACTCTATTTTAAAAAGCAATTAAAAAACCGTCCCAAACGAAGACTGAATAATACCCAGCAGGCCAGCAGCATTCCGAATACGAAGCAAACGGGGAGCATATTTTATATGTAGAAGAGAAATCGGGTAGCACGGACGCGTGGGGGCCCCAACTAAGAACACGTATGAGCCACACGAGGGAGACAATGGTTGGCACGTGCGAGAGATCCAGCTGGCACGCTCTCCGGGCTACCCGACGGAGAAGACGGCGTGTGGGCCCCTATCCCTCGCGGATGGCCCCACCGGATTTCGGGCTACGGGTGGGACCCGCTAACGTGGATTCTCGTGCGCAACCAACTATAAGAATACAGCTCTCCCCACTTCTCAGTTGCACCGGGACAAGAACTGGAAAGGCATTAACAAACCCTTCTAAGCTCTTTAGCTCTCTCTACCTATCTCACTCTAAAGCCTCTAAAGCCCTTGCTTTCGATCGGAGATGACGAATCAGAATGTGTTGGTACCGGAATCGATGGAGATTGCGGTGGCGGCGGTGGCTAATCCGGCGCCGATGTTCCCTTATCTGCCGCCGCATGGCGGTGGTGCTTCCGCCGGCGGCGTCAGAGGCGGATTCGGCATCAGACGGAAGTGCCTGCCTCAGCTGGATCTTGCTGAGAATGGTGGAAGTGGTAGGATCAATGTATGGATTGAAACAATGGAAGCCTCTTCGCCGAAGCACAAGTCGGCGGCGACTCTTGGTGTCTCCGCCTCAATCACAGGTCCGCACGAGCATTCGACATGGATGGTGAGCGATTAAGGGAATTTTTTTTTTTTTTTCTGTTTGTGATATGGGTTTTGATTTTCTTTGCTGCTTAATGGGTTTATGGTAATGAACGCAGTTGAGCCACCCGTCGGCGCTGAGCATGTTCGATGAGATCACAAAAGCGTTGATTGGGAAGCAGGTTGTGATGTTTCTCGACTATGACGGCACGCTCTCACCCATCGTTGATGACCCCGACCGTGCCTTTATGTCCGACGCGGTTTGTGACCTGCTTTCATATCTGCTTCTTATGAGTTTTAACATCTCTGGCATTATTATATGTTGTTATTGATTCCAGATGAGAGATGCGGTTAGAGATGTGGCGCGATATTTCCCAACGGCAATTGTGAGTGGCCGTTGCCGGAACAAGGTACATTTTCTTTTCTCAGTGGTTCTCTTTGTATTTCTTTATGCTCATTTTCTTTTGCCGTTTTGAGAAAGAGAACTCTTGATTGCTTGTGGGCAGGTCTACAGTTTTGTGAGATTGGCAGAGCTGTACTATGCTGGTAGCCATGGCATGGACATCAAAGTTCCAGCTAAGGGACCCAGTTTGAAGAAACCTAATGTTAGTGCTTTTAAGATTTTTCCTCCTCCATAAAAATTAAAATTTGAAAATAAAATTAAGAAAATACACTGATAACTATCCATTTGTGCTTCGAAATAGGATTTTTGTTAGGATTTATATTTATGTTTTTTTTTTTTTTTTTTTTTTTTCGTGCTCAGGGCAAAGCCGTTCTGTTTCAACCAGCTAGTAAGTTCCTCCCGATGATAGATAAGGTGTGATTTATGGCTTATTGAAGTTTTTACCTTATTGCTGACAGCAATATTTCATGGAATATGTGACTGTGTATTGAAAGGCATCTGTGTGATTATCTTATAAAGGTTTATAGAACCTTGCTGGAAGCGACCAAATCTACTCCTGGGGCCAAGGTGGAGAACAACAAGTTCTGTGTGTCGGTCCACTTTAGATGTGTGGATGAAAAGGTACTGAATCATATTATAGTTCTAAGCTTTTCGTTTTTTTTTTTTTTTTACTTTTTTTTTTAACAAGATGAGTTCTTTCTCTCTTCCTAGAGATGGAGAGCTTTAGCCGATCGAGTTAAATCGGTGTTGAAAGAGTACCCAAAGCTACGGCTAACTCCAGGAAGAAAGGTAGAAATTTTGGTGCTTTAAGCCACTTGCTAAAGTTTACCGTGGATAATTTGTTTTGTTGCTTGCTTTTAAAGCATGAGTGTGACAAGTTCTTGGACTTCTTCGCCTTCAGGTGCTAGAGATTCGCCCCATTATTAAATGGGACAAAGGGAGGGCCATGGAGTTCCTGTTAAAGTCTCTTGGTAAGTTGTAGGACAGGTTTTAGACATATTACATCAAGTCGTTTTCATAGTTTTGTTTCTTTTTGTCCCAGTTTTTCGATTTTTTTTTTTTTTTTTAATGGTGAGTGTCAAACAAGCATAAATTTGATTTAGATGCGATTCGAATCGAAAAACTTCATCTATTAAACTAGCTCACCCACAGTTTATCAAAAACTTTGTAAGGTTGTGTCATAATGTTTTCTGAGCAGGATTCGCTGACTGCAAGGATGTGTTGCCCGTTTATATTGGTGATGATCTAACAGATGAAGATGCTTTCAAGGTATGCAAGGTTGTTATTTGTTATCAAAATATCAGAGTTTGCTCAAACTTCTTGTCTTTGGGTACATACATTGCTTCCACACATTTGGGTTTTAAGAGCTAATGTCATTACATTAAAGAAGTATTTCTATAGCATCCATTATCCTGAGTGTTTTCTGGTGATATCATATGTAATGATGATTTGAGGTGGAAATTTTATTTTCAGTAGGAATGGCATGAACTTGAATTTTCTGCTAATTTGTATTTATTTTTCAGCCACATGATAAATTATATATATATATATATATATATATATATACAGTTTTATCATGCGGATGTTTTGTAGTATGATTTTACTATTTTGCCCTTTATTTATTTATTTATTTATTTCCATCACTATTAGGTGTTGAGAAACAGAGGACAAGGCTTTGGTATACTGGTTTCTAAAATTCCCAAGGAAACAAGCGCCTCTTATTCTCTTCAAGAGCCATCTGAGGTATGTTTAACTAACACCAAGTCTCTCTGTTTTTTGAACTTTTTAGTGCTTTTGGATATTTTTGATATTGGTCCAGTTATTCAAGGGTCACGTGATGGTTACTCTTGTGTAACCTTCTTTGTTTGTCTTGAAAATGTCAAGTTGCTGATTTTTTTTATTCTCTGAAATTATTTCTAAGGTTATGGACTTCTTGCAACGGCTAGTGGAGTGGAAGAGACTTACCTTGAAGTCTTGTACAATGGTGTAGATTGGATAAAATATGTGCCCCGCACCACCCATTAATGCAAAGGGTGGGATTGTTGGGATAGAAAATGCATGTATTTCCTCTAGGAAGGAAAAATTGAGTGCCTTTTGTTCGTCTTTCTTTCCTTCCTTGCTCCCCCCTCCCCTTTTGGATCTTAGTTGGGCTTCAAAGCATTGTAAACTAGCTTTCTTGACCCTTTCACAAGCAGCTAAGTATTTGTAATTATTTCCATGTACAAGGAAAAAAGTAAGTAATAGCAATTGTTCTTTTTGTTCTCTATATCGAACTTGTTCATCCTGAAGCAGTGGTGAAGAGTGGATGGGGGTGGCTTACATTCCCGTATATTTTGGATATGTTATCTTCTCTTTATACATATTAATGAAAGTTTTGTCCATCAATCATCATGCAATTATGCATAAAATGACAGATATCCCTATCCTAAATTTGGCCTAACCCCTTTTGTCTCCTTCGTTTAAATCTTGGGTTCACTATTGTGAACTTGAATGTTCGTAGATTGATTGGCCATTAGAGCAATTACAAGGGTTGTATATGAAAGTTGTGGTGTTTAGAAAATAATTAAGGATGACTTCTACCACAAGTATAGTTAAAAAAGTGCTAATCTAAAATAGTTTACTCAGAACCACGCTGCATTTATTTTGTTTATGTGCAGGTAGAACGGAGGACGTGAATCCTATTATATTTAATTGTTTGCCCTTTCAAAAGCCATGCAAATGCCCAGTCTTACATGAGCTGTACTTCTTTGTCTTTTAAGCAACGTTTGACCACAGCAGCAGCACCTATGTTTACTGATAATTGATAAAAGAAGCAGAACCATTGGTCTTGATTGTGGTGAGCTGGCTTTTTCCCCTGCACAAAAGGTAGATTGCTGATTTGGGATGAATTATTCTGTGCGGACTCCAAACGCCGTCCAGAACCCAATAAAAATGCGCCATGCACCCCTACTCGGTACTGCGGCTCAGTATTGCTCGGTATCGAGCTTGGTACTGAGCTCAGTACTGGATGACGTGGCTGCACCTGATTGGCCTCTGGACTATAAGTTGTGTCCGGTGTCCGCACAGAATAATCTCTCCTGATTTGGAGAGTGATACAAGATAACGTATCGACTGTTAAGCATGAAATAAACAGTATTTTCTTCCTTATTCTAAGGCAATAGTTTATGATAAGCACCATTATCGTAGCAGCTATAGTGCAACTCACAATTTGATTAGCAGAAGCAGATAATCTTTTGGGAAAGAATTGATTATTTTAGTTAGATACATTCAAATCATTGCATCAGTGCCAAAACAAGTTGACTTTTTGTGAAATATCGAACAGATTATTTTGAAATTTCTTGAAGCATATTTTAATCCCAAGAAATACATGTCTAGCAATGATCCTGGGTCTCATCAATCGTGGAGGCTGCATACCATTTTCAGGTTGTCTTTTAGGTTCAAGTTCATCCTATCAGATCATTCTTTCTGGAAAAATCTGAAAGTTGCTTTCAGGCACCTTAGTCCAAACATTTAGAGGGCAATTTCCCTTGTGAAGAGCATGATTGTTCCCCTGTGCAGCTTCACCAAGAATCACTAGCACTAGAAGCATTTTCCCTAAAAGAACAAAGAAAAAAAAAAAGCTTTCAGAAGCTAATCCACTAACCTGGCCTTCTGCAACCCTAGAATTCCGAAATTAGCATGCATATCATGCACGACTTATACTCTGATTACTCTTATGATCGAGATTTTAAGTTGATATTTGATTAGAATACTTAATTGAACAAATTAACTCTCAAAAAGTTGATTATGACTAATTTACAAATTATAAGTAAATTTAATGACAAGACTATATATTAGCACTAAAGTTGTTTTGGCTCTTATGTTAGTGCTTTGAGATTTTGAGTTGATATTTTGATGGCAATACTTTATTGACTAAATTAACTCACATAAAGTTGATTGTAGCTAACTTACAAAGGATTAGTTTATTGACAAGACACCATATTATCATTAAAATGGCATGATTATAGAATAAGCTGGCATTCTAATGAAAATAACACTACTGTTCACTTATGATTGTTAGTGCCAACGCAAATTCAGCACTCAAGTCGTTTACTTCTTTGGAACATGTTTCGAAGGGACTTTTTGGTTAGTTTCAACCACTTTACCAGTTTAAGAAGGAAAGAAATTAAAAGCTAGGCATTAATGTAACACTTTTGCAGCATACCAAATACACAACATAAGATTTCCTGCAATTTGTTTACAGTCATTTTGCAGCAAACCAAACAGCCAGCCCCTTGAACAAAAGTTAAGTATATATTTATTCTTTCATGATGATTTTACTTCATATCCATCCATTTTCATGCTTCTTGAAAACAAAGCAGAGTTATTTTGGTTGATGATTGTTTTGCAGAATGGTAGGAATTCAACAACAACAACAACATCAAGCCTTTGTCCCTCTATGTGGGGTCGGCTACATCAATCTTTTTTCGTCATTGTGTCCTGTTAAAAGTCAAATTCTCATTCAAATCTAATAAAGAAAGATCATTTCTAATATTTTCGAACCAAGACTTTTTAAGTCTACCTCTACATTTCTTAACATAAACCAAATCTAATACCTTAACTTTCCTAACCGGGTCATCGGAAGGCCTCCGTTTAATGCAACCAAACCATCTAAGACGGCTCTCTCTGACCTTTCACATCAGCCAAAAATTAATTGCCTAAGCTTCATTTTGTTTACCTCGATTTCCTTTAACCCAAACACAACATACTACATTAATGAAATGCACACCTGAAAATCAGCTTTTGCCCAACAGCTACGCTGCATTTAGCTGTCACCAATTAAAGTGCATTCAAGGCAGGGGTGTGCATTTTTATGATCATCCTAAAAGACTTAGGAAATCATAAATGCATTAAAGGTGTTCAAAATCCCACTAGTCATTTATGGGATAAATGTTGCTAGAACTTCTAGAATCCCATCCCATATTCTGATTAAAAGTACTTGAACCACACAAGAGTTATTATTGTTGACAGAAGGAACCAGGAAGTCCAGTCTCCATCTTCTTTCTTTACAAGTCTACTTAAATAGCAACATTGTTAACTCCATTTAATAATTTAACTGCTACGCCATTGGCCTCCTTCTGTCTCAGCCAATCCCATATAGAAAGGAGTAAGAGTGGTGTCTTTCACCATTTTTCTTAGGTCATTTTCTCTTATTATAGAGAAGTTGGTGACGCCCTTCCTAGTAAGGACATGAAAGCGAGTGAGAGATGGAGACCTCCACTAGCTGTTTGAGTGAGGAGTTGGATTCCATTAGTAGCACTTGAGAGCCCACGCCTTAAAGTTAGAAATTCAGGTCTATTATACCATCATTGGTGCCAAGCTTCCATGAACAAAGCCATTGGATGACTCATATCATTGATGGAAGAAGCCTCAACTGTCCAAGCCCTTCACTCACCTACCAATCATTAAGCATTTCAATCACATTGTTAGATAAAGGAAAACTGTGAGTCTCTTGGAAAATTATTATGTGCGGCGTCTGGATTCGTCCGGAGGCGAATCTGGACGTGCCACATCATCAGGGCCCAATGCATCCGGGTGGCGTGGCTCGTCCGGATTCGCCTCCGGACGATCCGGACACCGCACGTAATAATATCTCGAGTCTCTCAAACCCAGTTTTGCTGTTAAGAGAAAGCTAGAGGGCTAGCCTAGGATCTGATGATGCTTTGCACATATGAAACACATGAATTTGTATTAAGATATGATTTTAATCGAATCTTTACGGTGTTCATATCCCATGCTTTCATGATTCATTACATGTCGCCACTCAGGCCTAGAGTCTCTTCACATGTTACTTCTAAGAATCTAGATTGAAAGTAGTAAAAAGATTAACTGTGATAAGCAGGCATATTTTATGTAATTGGAGCACGATTAGCCAGGTAAAATCCATGCCTCTGCCTTGGTCTCAGGGCTACACCTGTTGCCTCAAGGAGGTTTGGAGTGGCTGGATTGGAGATCTATAGAGGTTTGATTGGCCAATGCTGCTTTTAAATAAGCAAAAAAAGATTATGATTGCATCAGTATTCTTTGTTTCTTCTTTGCACATGGTGGTGTGGTGTGCTCCAGAATTGGAGAGAATATTACGTGCGGTGTCCAGACCGTACGGAGGCAAATCCGGATGTGCCATTTCACCCAAATACCACTGGTCCCGGGTGACGTGGCGCGTCTGGATTCGCCTACAAACGAATCTGGACGCTGCACGTAATATTTTTCCCCTGATAGAATTGGGTACCTCCTGCAGAAAAAAACATAATTGGAGGAGATAAGGCTCCTTCCCAATTCCATGACAGCATTGGTAATGTTAATGTTTTCTATGAAGCTAAGCTCATTATTTACTTTTATAGAGATTCCCATCCCTTAATATAAAAATTGATGAGAGTGGTAGGTTCTGCTCCTGGAATTTGATACTGGAATGGTTAAATCTTTTTTGTGATCGAGGTACCTTCAGTTTGATAGTTGTATATATGGGTGCTTTTTTAAAGTTTGGTGGAGCATGCGCCAAGAGCAATGGCGTGCAGAAGAATAAAAAAATAAACTGGACGGAGAATATCACTGATATAATTTTGAGTTTTTAACTTATCAAGCTTGATGGGAAAGATAAAGATTTTATAATATAAAACCTTTGTGCATTCCCTTAAGCTAGATCTCATGTGACTACTAGAAACTACAGTTCAAGATGACCACTACATATGACCCTTTTTTTATGTACTTTTAGATAAATTAAGGTAAACTCACACACATCATCACATACGTAAGACTTGAACTCAAAATCTCTTAATTGATAGTCAAAATTCCAAACTAATCAGTATGTTAACTCTCTCAGTATGAAAATATTCCAAACACAATATTTATTGCTCTCATTCCTAAATCTCAGCATGAAATGATTTCATTGACATCAGAAAAAGCTTTGTTTCCTTTTCTTAAATCACATGCTTTTAACAAAGAACACAGGTCTTACTGAGCTTTTATTATTTTCCCTCAGGTTTTATATTTAATAGCTCAAATGTGTCTTGAGTATGTTCTATAAATATTTGTAGCTATTTTTTTCGTAATACATTGATCAAATGAATAGATATAATAGATGGTTTTTTACCTTCAAATATTTTAGAAGCTAAAAAGTTTTTTTTTTTCCCCCTTAGTTTTGAAAGCAGAGCATTTAGTTCAGGCTGACAAGGCTAGGCTTTCATAGTGGATGCTGTAATATCAAAAATCTGCACCAGGATCGTCCAG